TGATTGCTAACACATTTGGTGAATCCCAGCTTGATGACCACAGTGGTGAATGGTCAGTGGTCAGTGCACTAGAAAACGTGAAGTTGGTTGCTCCCTACTTGCAACCAATACTTAAGAAATTTTCAGAATCTAATCACGAAATGCCCAACCCTTAATGGCACTGAATTTCATAAAAGCAAACCAGAAAAAGCATGGATATTGAATTTTTTAAGTTCCACGCAAATATCAACTACCGGTCAAACTGGAATATATTCGCATGGTGACGAGATTACGGGATAAAACGTGGAAAAGCAACAGATAGCTATGTTAACTAGACGTTATATTTTATTTTACTAAGTAAACCTTATTCCTAAGCAACAAATGAATCCTTCGGATCTCTAGCATTTTAAAACATTACATTCTTAAGTAGTCATTTCATTTGAATCGGCCGCCAACATTTTTGTTCATATTTATTTCGAAATATCAAAAGTTCTGTTGCTTTTCGTATCAGTTACAAATGAAATACATTTATTTCTATATCCCGCACTAATGACAAGTTTTTTAATTGTAATTTTTGTCTACGGTCAGTCGGTTTAATTTCAAAACAGTATTCATGGTTTTAAAACGTTAGAATTTTATGACAAATCTTGGAATAAACTTTCATTTGTTTGTTCACTTTTCGGTCAGCTTTATAGTGAATACAATGTAAATTAACTATAGAAATTCATCAGAATTCTAAAACACCGGTTAGAAATATCATTTGTCACTACAGCTTTAGAAATTAAGAGTTATAATACGGTACACCTAACTGTGTTGAAAAGGTGCTCGAAGACAAACAACTCTCAGCACTGAAAATAAGACCAGTGTCTTCGTAAATCTGCTTGCAAAGAATATTTCATATGATTGTTCACGCTTGAAAACAGATTCGATGACTTTTTTGAGCATAACACTTACATTGCAGTCAACTTGCTAGCTCGTCAAGATGTCACTAACTTCGTAGGGTGATGTGTGCAGAATAGGTGGCTTCCTTGAATTGCTAATTAGAAGATAATCAAAGTTCATAGATTCAAAATCATTGATGAAATGTGTTGCTTTGTTACCAAACTAACCGGTCACAGCTCAATCACTGAACAACATGACTGGTTGAATGCAACTGATAATCTTAGCTTCAGGAAAACAATCTGCCAAAGTAACTGCTGTTGTTGCTTGGCATTAGGACAATGGTCTGCATCCTCCAGATCCAAATTCGCTGAGTAGAACTTTATGAGTGTAGTGACAAAGACTTACAGAACATTGCTCAGCAAACCAAGAAGAATATTCACATATTGACAATACACAGTTCAGTTAGCAAGACATTCAAAATAGTGAACAAAGACTCCCAGTTATTCGATGTAAAACTTCGAATGACTTCCTAAAAATTAATACATTGTTGTCAGTGTTAGCAATCATGTTTTTTTTGGACTAAAACATCTGTGCTACTAACAAACTGCCTATAAGGATTTATGCAAACTAGTATATGAAGGAGTAAATCTCTTTGGATAGAGCAATTCAGTTTTGATAGCTTAGACTTTAGAAGAACAAGTTATACAGTCATATGTTTCACTAGAAAGCATATGGTATTTTAAGGTGATGCAAAGTGTTCATAAGTCATGAATGCAGTGAAAAGATGAACTGTTTGACCACAAAATTGTAATTAGAAATCTTCGGAATCGCGAAACACTTCATTTAATCGGTACTTAAAAGCCTGTTTGTAGAGACATCAACAATTTGTAGACCATATTTTAAGTCATTGTCAGACTACTTGTGTTGTATCGTCTTCTGCATGATAACTCCGAAGTAACCTTTGGTTAAGGGTGCATAAAGTCACTGGGAGACACAGTTGCACAACGAGTTGTATATTCAAACGTATTCACCATTATATCGCCATAAATCGTCGCAACTGATCATATTTTAAGTTAGAATATTGTGGATTTGCGAAAACAGAAAGAAAAAAATTATTCTAAAAGATATCTTTAAAAGGCTAGTAAACACGTTTATCTTTGGGCCTTCATCTGTAGTACTTATTACTGCTTTCTATGTAAAAGATTTTCTCCACGCGACGACTTTCAAAAAAACCATGCGAATTCTAAGGCACAGTGATTGCATTCTAACTATTACCTACCATATGCTGAGCATTACAATCCACCCGATACTGAAACACAAACGAGACTGTGCATACAGCACTCATGTCTCATGATTAGCGGACTAGAGTTTCAATATTAGCTCGAAATCTTAGATTCTGCATTTCTAAGTTCCATCAGCTCTCTGGGAAGTGCAACTGTTGCTTAGGATTACGGCTGATCATCGACAAATCAAACTTTAAAAATGTATCTCAAGGTATTCAAAAAAGATATAAAGAAAAAACAGAGCAAGGTCTCCTCCTGGAGATCAGTATTACCATCCAGCAACAACTACAAAGTCTGCACTAGCCTTGCGAACTTGTCAAGCTGACAAATTCATCGACAGAACTTAGAACGGGTAGTGGTCTAGATTGTGAAGTATCGGCGATCATGAAGTGACATCTTATGGTTGAACGATGTACACCTGATTGTCTTGCGTCGAGACAGTCTATCTGTATAGTATTCTGTGGTTTTAATGAGTATGCCATTTGAAATACACTATTTTGTGAAGAAATTACTTCATCAGATGACCTGAATCTTCAATGTATTACTGAAAGTTGAATAGTGTTTTTCTGATACCTTAAGCCTATAAGTAGATACTGCTTTATGACTGATTATCTGATCACACAGATAATCTCACTACTAAGTTTTTGTTATCTGACTTCAACCAACATTTCTGATCTTGATTTGCTTGAATAAACAACCATCTAACTTTGTGAATAATATATCTAACCTTTGAGTAATCTCTGATGGCCATAGTCCCCTTAATAGACTGCTTGTTTAATATGCCATAGAGCGATGCAGTAATAATAACTGAACGACTTTTCGAGCAGAATTTACTGCTCATGTTGATATTAAAATGAATATAAATGATTCAGGATTTGAAAGTAGACAACAAATTCTTGATATTTTGTGATTTTTCGTCTGTTTTTACTTACGTTCTTTTAACCGAAAGAGAAAACTTCATCTGCCACGAACTTACTAAACATGGCACAGAAATAGGTATCCCAGTCTCCACCTTGAAAGAGTTACTTCTAAGGTTTACGATGGATACACAATTTATTTTCAACAATGAACTCTACATGCAGTCTGATGGTGTGGCTATGTGGTCACCTCTTAATTCACTCTTGTCAAATCTTCCGGCGAAACTAGAGAATGGTTCTAAGAATGAAGCTGACAGCCAACTGGAATTATATTGTAGATATATAGATGGTACCATCACAGTTCTCGAAAATGAGATTGATATGAACGTTGTTCTTAGTAGGTTTATTAGTGCTCATCCGACAATCAAATTCACAATAGAACAGGAGAAAAATGACAGCATCCAATTACTAGATGTTCTGCTGGCAGAAGAGTCAGGCGGAACTCTGAAACGAGGTATGTGTAGAACATCAACGTCAACAGGTCAATACATGCACTTCCTTAATGCCGTGCCCTTCCAATACAAGAAGAATCCGTTGAAATTTCTTGCATACCGTCCTTAAGCTATTTCCTTTGATAATACTATGGCGGAAGGGTTCGTAACCATTCACGACCAGCATGGTGAGAATAGCTATTCATCAAAGACAACTAAAAATATCAATGTTACTAAGGTTAAGACAAAAATGCCAACGGTTCCCAAGAGACAAATCTCCTTGATGCTTAAATTCAAGAGTGACATTTTTAGTGAGATGATCACGCAAACCATAAAAAGAGTTTAGCAAAGATCATTCTAAGCTGTTGAACTATGTCCTGTCTTCTACAGCGGTGTGATTCTAGATGCAAGAAACAAAAAAAATAAAAAAACAGCCTGATTCTGTCACATCCTTGTTCATTTACCAGATAACTGCATTGAACGTACAACGAGGCAGGTCCATCGTTAAATTTCCAAACATCATCTATTATGGTTGGATAAGGAACACATTAGAACGACAAAGAGCTCCATACTTGCACACTTAGTTGAAACTTGACACCAAGAAGATACTAAGAAAGCATTTAAAAGTACTCATTGGATACCAGTCAATTCACTGCACGCACCATTCATTCGCCTACTTCACGTAGAAGAAGTGATTGCAATGCACCTTTACAAACCTTACTTCAGTCTTTCAGAGAAATTTGTTCAACCACTTTCACTACCTTGGCCATCAACATGAAGTAACTTCTATTATTACTTTCTGCCCCTCTTCCATCTCTCGCTCTAAGAACATACATTCACATTCTTGTCTTTTTTTAATTGTTTATTGTTTATGACTTCACAGTCGAGAAAAAACACTTCCTTTACTTTACCAGTTACTGTACAGTTAGCCTAAGAATAACCTATTTCATATTATTACAATTATCACTTTTAGTCTCTAATAATTACTCTGTTGATTATTTGCATCTTGATTCTTCAAAGTTGTCACCTTCATAACTTAAGATGTGTAATGGTTGTTTGTCAGACCATCACCACTTGACTGGTGTTTTTACTCATTTCTAAACTTAAATATTAACGTAGAGCCAAAGACGAAGACCTAATTTAGAAAGGAATATATTTCTTCACTCAATCAGTCTTTTTCTGAATATGAATGCATATGAGCAACAGATTCTTTTCGTAAAGTCATCTAGTAAGTAATACAGCATGACTGTGTACCATATCAGCGAAACAATCTAATATGGAATTCAAGCCTACCACAGTGTCCTAGTTTTACTCATACATTATTGCTCACATCTACTTTAGAAATTCAGGACTGATCTACATCAAACTCTGCTTATTAAAAAAAATCTACGTACAGGATCTGAAAACATTTACTCACAATCCCAAATAATTCACTATTATTGTTTTTTTATAAATTAGGGCCTTACTAAGTTTTCTAATAAGTTATTAACCAAATAAATTTATTATTTGATATAAATATAGTATTAAATTTTATTTACAAATGTATAGTTCATAAATAGTCATGTACAATGAAAGAACTTGCCAAACATCTTTTTAAGCCTGATAACAATAATCTCCTTTTATTCATTGAATCCACTGGAATCTGATAAAACGTGTAGCTTTACTATTGATGCCGTTGCTTCAATAGGATAATTATTCACATTATTTAAAAGCTCACATTCTGTTCCATGATCGTCTGTTGTAATTCCATCTTTTACACTGTTAGTAAATATATCACATGGTTGACAGCATAAAGGCTGCAAATTTACTAATTTTATTGATACAGGTACAAGAGTTGTTGTTGGTTCATTTGAGCATGATGGTAGGCTTGTAAATGATGGTTTGTGATACCTGTCTATCTGTGATAAGTGAGTTTTTTGCTCAAATTGTGCTCTTGTAAACATTTGTATTTTCAATAGTTCACATGGTGGAATGATAGTGTCTGTTGATGTCTGAGCAAACTGTGTTGCCGATGGAATGAATGTGTTAATGGAACTACAATTGACTAGATCATCAACTGGTGTAGATAACACATGCGAACTGACTGGTGATGAAACGTTTAAAATATTAACATGATTCATCTTTGTTGGTTTAATATAGTTAAAGTCAGAATCTTTTGTCAGCATTCCTATACCTTGTGTATATTTTTCGTCCTCTGGTATATGTAGCACACAACATGATTTACAGAATAATGCTGTAAACGTTTTCTGTGTAAAACAGATAACTGGTACAAGTGTAGTGGTTAAAATCTCAACCAAAATACATCCTTGTAATTGCCAATAAGGAATGTGTAAATTTTCATGTACTAGTTTAAATAGTTCAACATTTTCAGGTTCGTGCAAACCTTGATTAAAATTCCATGAATGACAGTATTTCAGTTGTGATTTTACTAATTTTCCATAAACTGTTAAGCGTATAGTGTGATTTATTAACAAAGATAAACTTAAGATAAAGGAACAAACTGAAAAATAAATTATTTGATGCATAAGATGAAGTGTTGTAATGCGTGAGGTTTTTTTCGGTTCTTGTTGAGACTTTTTTGGAAAACAATGAGATGAAACATCACATTGATAAGTTAAACATGATGTGGATGAGCTACAGACTTCCATGGAATGTGTTTTTTCACCATAAAGTTTTACAGGTGAACACTCTACATCTTTCGATAATTCGCTAAAAGTTGCTTTATTTGTGCTATTACTACCGTTGTAGTTACGAGGACATAGCCCAGTTGTTTGTTTACTTGAGGTAAACGTTTTATGCATAATATTTCTTGACCTATGTGCAGTAAAACAAATGAAAATACTTATAGTAAAGACTAGAAAATTTGGTAAGATATCACACAATACATTTGTGAGTATTTCAAGCCATTGTTCAAATGTGGTTTGATGACACACAGTATGAAAATACATTTTTTGATGCTCTAAATCTTTTGTATTCATGCATTCAAAGTTCAATACTTGTTTAGTAGTCAAACGCTTTGATTCTGTTAAATGTCTCAATGCATATTTTTGCAGATTATAATTAATTAATAAACTACCTATCCTAATAACTATAGAGAATATCCACGAAATGATGAAAGCTATATATAAAGGAGTGAAGGTACCAATTATTAACGGGATTTTTGCAGAATTCACCAAATAAATAGACTTAATATAGTGTATGTTAATCAAAATCATGAGGAGAATGGAAATCCAATAAACAGTCAGTAGACTTAGTGATATGTGTCGCGTTAAATAACACATTAAATAATTTCGACTGATTAAGTTTGGCTGCTTAACACTTGAAGTCCATTCAGGACCTAGTACAAGACTTGATATTCTTCGAATTGATATTACAAATCCATAAATAGTACCAACAAAACTTAAGTGTAACTCGGTGCGTAGTATTAACTGGTATCGTTTTGTCGAAAAATCACTGGCAACATCATGTAGCGGTTTGGAATAAGAATTTGTTTTAGACTTATGAAATGCTGACTGATGACGGAATTTGATCAGTACATTATGATATAATAACCATAAGAACCATATCATATGTATCATGAGACATAATAAACCGAGTGAAAACTGTAATATACTCCAGTGTAAATGTGATTTATTCGATACAACTTGAACTGTAGTAAGAGTGGAACTTTTACTTGAATATTTCGAATGCTTGATTGTTTGCTCAGATATATAATCTTTGAAGTTACTATCTTGAATATAATCAGCTATTGAATTTGCATCACTGCTGTAATTTGACAAGGTTAGTGCGAGATCTGAATCAGTATTAAACTCTGTAAAATTGTCTATATTACTCTGAGTCAGATTAATTGGATCGCCTAAAAGTCCAATACTTTTGTGACTATTCATTTGAAGTGCATAATTTTCTAGAGCATTTTTTAATTTATACAAGTCTTTACTAGAGCTTTTTTCATGCCTGTGAGTATTTCTCTTCACCAAACGTAGGATGTTATGCCAAGATTCAGCGTTGATGAACACAAAACTATTGATTATCATTATAATTGCAGTAGTTTTCAGTAAGGTTATCAAAGTAATATTTATCCTCATTTGATAACTTCAAAACTCTGTAAAACTTTGACCATCAGTAATTTTATAGGAATAAAATCTAACTGACGCATAACAAATGTAAATATAAGAGCTACTTGTGCATTTTCTTACAGCTCAAATGTATAATAGAAATGATAAAAATATTTCTGAAATTTAAAACATCCAGAAAGAAAAAAGAAGACATGAACTTATAATTAATTAAGATATAAGCATATCAAATTTTCCGCTGGCATCTTACAAGATTATTTAACCAATCCTGTGATTTGTATAATAAGCCAATAGAAATAAACTAAATTTGTGAATAGATTACTTTTAACCAATAAAATAAATAAGTTAAATGCACAAAGAACAGTAGATAGCTAATATTTACCATTATGTATACCAACCATTCACCTTCAGCTGTTTCTGTTAACATAAAAACTTAACTCCTCCTTTTAGTGTTATACATTGAAAGTCGGTCAGCCTTAAGGAGGGGAACGATACACCAGATACCCATTGGCGGCTAATTCGTGTAAATGATCGCTTTCTACCAATTACTTTATAGCTGATTGAAAATTTGTCGTAGAATAAGGTGCATTTTTCCAGTTTCTATTTTATCAGTAATCTGATTGAGAATAATCTGATTTTGACATCTTAGTGTGGGATCGAGTGGTAGTTGACTACTAAAATTGAAGCTTAAAAAGTATTTTAGGTCACATTCACTAGAAATATAGAAGGCGGACTGTTGTATATGGTTGTTTTGCTTTAATCAAATTAAAAATTTTGCAGCAAACAAATTTTTTCCATATATTACACGATGAAACAGTATAACGTACTGAACAAACAATAATATTTTGCTTTCAACTGAATTAATATTTTTCTTTTTGTATGATCTACACATGTCAACCAAAGATGACTTTACTAAGTACTCCGATGATCTAACACTATACATGCTGCCCATTGCCTTTTCAGTTTGTTACCAACACAAAAGCCTCTTAACCGAAACTTACCATGGATCTTCTTGAAATGGCCTCACACTTAATCCTTTAAATGTCAGATGGGTAAATTTAGTCTAAGATCTGAACAAGATCTGCATAAATTGCTTTAGTCTTATGACTCTCATCCTACAGATGGCTGTGTCGCAGAGAAAGTACATGGCGTGATACATTTTGGCTTACGTTCTTCTTTTGATCCCCTTTGATCCCGTCATATATTACTGGTTTTAAGGAAAATCCCTCACATGATATTTATGCGTCTGATACAATGTATTCGTATTATATACTTAGGACAATACGTTCACTTCTTTAATTGTCAAGGCATTATACGTTAAAATGAGACCATAAGAAGGTAAAATCAAATAAATGCAATAAACCGGGGTGATAATCGGAAAAGAAAACAAAGAAGTAAAGGTAATAAGTTTTGAAAATAATGTAAGTAATAAGATAAAGAAGACGAATGTCACATGCAGGTGAATTCAGAATATGAAGAAACTGAGCTTGAACACACAAGCTTCTGTTAGTCTAATGTGTCATTTGTGGTCATTAGTGCTTTTGTTAAATTGGCATCCAATGTCCAGAAAAAAGTAGAATAGTTTATATTATATTCACTGTTAGTTTATTGGAGGCAATCGGCAGGAAGCCCTGAACCTAGGTTTCGTGCTTTTTGGCACTCGTCAGCAAGGCGTATCTGCAACCTCGGCGGAACTGATGCCGCACCCGAGATTCGAACCCGCGTCACCCAGTGTCGTAGTCAGCGACTTTACCACTGAACGGGAATGCAACCAATTTCATGGTGTCTAGTCCTGAATACAGATCAAGTTCTATCGATCATATTTGCAATGTGTCAACCAAGCAAGGAAGCTCATCTACTAATGTGCACCGCGATGCTGAGCTTCCTAGCTTGATTGCCACATTGAAAATATGATCGATCGAATTCGATCTGCACTCAGGACTAGATAACATGAAATTGGTTGCACTCCCGTGACCAATCAATACATATATTCACTGTTTACAACCTATTGAAACTATATTGATTAGGCACTGCAATGGTGCCAACTGTCGCATTTCGAAATAATATTTACTTTGCAATGCAAACTTTCAAAGAAATTACAGTAGAACAAGCTATAAAGTTGGTTCACCTCCAGCCTGGCCGTAAAATTCTTTCAGACGGTATGCTTTGAATTAAAGTAAGCAGCACAATAATCAGTCTTACTGCAGATGGATTTCACTGAGAAAAAGCATGGATTGAGTAAGCTTGAATATCGAAATGTATTTATTTTGATCTTATTCAAATAGTGAATGACATTTTTATAAATTTTTATCAGGCATTTTTAATTACATATTTGTTAAAATAAATGAAGACGGCGGAATGAGATTCAGTGGTTTCTGGTGTTGTCATAATCGTCATGGTGACAGTAACACTCATTACACCAGTTTTATTTTACTACTAAAGAGGGCACGTTACATGAATCCCACTACTGAGGTACTGTACGTGCATTAATTATTCATATATGGGCACATCATGTGATGAAAAATGGGAGAAAAATGTATTCGAATGAACCAACTGTTTTACTAGTTTTCTGACGGAAATTTTCCAAAAGCAGTGTGATCATAAATGAAAAACATATCAGCACACTAACGGTTTGTCTTGTAAATTAAAACATTTCCGTCTGTAGCATGCCATAACATGGTTGGAAAAATGCAGAATGGTGTAGTGAGAGAGATGAAATGACAGCTAGTAATGACAGCTAGTAATTAAATAAGTGGCTTGAAAGTAAGCAGGACATCACGACAGTGACGTCATTAATCTATGGTACTAAGTGTAAATGAAAGATCTTATTTACTGATACTATTGAATATGGAGTAAACAAGGTAGACTAAAATCATAATTGGAAGAATCATGAAACAAGAAGTACTTTCAGATGAATATTCGTGTCTGCATGTACACGTACTGCGTAAAAACCTCAATTGCATAGGCTTCTGCAAATATAAGCCTTCATCTATTCTACTTTCTACGGATAGTGAAAAAAGACGCAACAGTAGTACTACATAACAACCTATGACTTTCTGAATCAAGGGATCAGTATCTTACACACTGATGGCCACAAACAGCTTTAAGGAACTACTATTTATGCTATAAATCCTACAGAATTCGACAACTTGCAGTTCATGTGAAGACTGCATATTATGTGTTACACACAATCAAAAAAATTATATCAGTGGTGCTTACTTGTGCCAAAATGATATCCCTGTTAGTCCTGTATTGGCCAATATAAAAAAAACAGCTTTCTAAAACGGACTATTTTTATCCATGCAAAATAAATATAAGTTGCCTTTTCTCTAGTTTTGCATTCTATAGAAAACCCCATGTGTTGGTGAATATCTTTAATGATCAGTTAATTATTACTGTACATTTCAATTTGTAGGATGAAAATCCTCTTAAATATGAACAGTATAAATAATCTGTTAAATTCCCCCCTCATAATCATTGCTTTCTTCCGTCTGTGAGTAGTTTGAAATAGTATCATTGTGTGTGTTTAGTAATTAACTAAAAGAAATAACATGAAAATATTTGAACTCTTTGAATTCTTCTTAGTTCATATCTACTGTTTGTTCCAAGTTCATATTCAATAAAATGACTCAGTATAGTCAAATCATCTTTCATTATCGAAGGTTGAATAGTGTAAGATTAACAGAATTTACCACCATTGTCATGGTAACTACCTGTAGCTTTAATGAAAATAATGGTTTATGACGAAAATGTATTTTTTACCGATCTACTTAAGTTAACCGTGTGAATTATCCATCATATTAGGTGTAAGACCCGTCATTTTTGCTTTAGGAAAGTTCTGCATACAACAGATATATATTACAGTAAATGAATGTTAGTACTCTTGTGGAATATCTTTCAGAATGATTAACAAATTTAACATGCTCAGCCATCATTAGGACAATTTTTCACTCAGTAACAGAAAGCATTTTGCAACTATATGAGTCGGGACCAAATTATAGTAAGTGCTAGCAGAGATTTACTCTTGACAAAAGCGAAACGACCACTAAATCGTATTTTATGTAATGTAGTAGGCTGACATTTCGGTTTGGTAGTTTGTGTCTGTGGTTATAATTTGATTTTCAATAGTACTTTATTTGGAACCTCTTGAAGGATGGTTACTTCACATTCCCCAAATAAATAGTAGCTGAAATGATCTTGAGTATTACCAGATGGACTGATGGGGACCGACTGATGTGTATTAGTTATTAGCTGAAGTCTGAAACTAGAATATGGTTGTGTTGGTTGGTTAGAGGCAATCACCAAAAGGCCCTGGACCTAGGTTGCTTACTTGTTGGCACTCGTCAACAAGGTATATCTACCAATATGAGGAACTGATGTCTCCCGTGAGATTTTCATCCAAGTCACCCAATGTTATAGTCGGAGGCGTTACCACTGAGATATTCACACCGATTAAGTTACTATGGGACTAGATTATATACATTCATTGATCTCTAGAGAGTAAACAATTTCACGTTGTCTAGTCCTGACTTTTGTCTAAATTCTATCGATTATTCTGTAAACTGGCCACCAGAATTGGAAACATACCATCGTTTTTCAATCTTTCGAACTTATTTTCAGCTGCAAACAATATACAATCTTCGGAAAAGCCAAATTATAATCGAATTTTTAAGTAAAGTTTATTTCACTGGGAAGAAATCGAATTGTTAAGCAGTTACATAGGGATAATGGCAAAGTTAAGTGTAAATAATAAGAAAATTCAAATAAAACTGTTGTCAGAAATATACCTATCATGCCTGAAACGAAACAATCTTAGGAAGTAGCAAAGGTAACAAAGTGAATATTTAATTTGGGGATTTGTGGGAATTAAGTGATTTTCCACTGTGGTATTCATCATAAACTGACATCAGCTCGAGGAACATTGAAAATCCAAGAGAACTGGATAGCTGTTTCGTCTTAGTATGAGGTTCTACAGCAGTGTATACCCATGACCAGATGGACACGGGGAAAAATACTCAGCTATGACATTGGGTGATGGTCGCGCTGTGTTGTGAACTGATAGAAGTTGGAAATGTGTATCACTGGATTCTGACCTAATAGTTCAGTGGTAACCTGCTGGCCACGTGACTTAAAGGCCCCAGGTTCGAGCCCAGGTGGGGTCATGAGTAAGCACTCTTGAAGAGTTTCATACTAGGACTAAAAAACTGCCCAGTGCCCCAAGG